TGACAATTTAGTATTAATCTTCTGGATTTCTAACTGTAGATTTAGAATCATTTCTAATTTTTCATTTATTGTGTCATTTTGTTCTTGTATTTTCTTCTAGGGTTTTGTCTGTGTTTTCCTTGGTCTGTCTCTCAATCCTTTGAAGATACCTAAATATAATTCTTTTGAATTCCTTATCAGGAAGTTCCAATGCTGCATCTTCTTCAGGGATGTGTTTTGGGTCTGTATCCTGGTCCCTTGTTTATCCTGCTTTATCTTGCTTCTTTGTGGGCACTGTGATGCTCTGTTTTCTCCAAGGCATTGTGACATTTTTGTGTTTATATTTAATTGGTGATTATATGTTAGAGTGACTTGCCCACAATTTTCATTTCTTTGTTTTGTTTGTATGTTATCTGTACAGGCAGGGTACTGTGCTCTGCTCCTCTGTTCACTAGTTGACAGCACTTATACTCTCATCACCTGTCTCCTTTCCTTTGTCAGCCTCTCGTATGTCCTTGCTGAACCTGGCAAACAGAGCCTGTTCTTAGGTCCCTGGAATCCGAATGAAAATGTTATCACTTTAAAATCCAAAATGGTTGCCACTTATAAACATTCAAAATGGCTGTACCCTCAGTCAGTCACTTTGAATATCCAAAATGGCCGCTGCTTGTAAACATTCAAAATGGCTGCACCCTTGGTCACTTTAAATATTCAAAATGTCCACTACTTGTAAACATTCAAAATAGCAGCACCCTCGGTCACTTTAAATATCCAAAATGGCTTCCACGTGTAAACAGTCAAAGTGGCTGCACCCTCTGGACAGCAGAAAGTGCACAGCTCAGATTATCTCCCTCCTTGCTGTTTCCCTTCCTAGTCATAGGTCACCAGAGCAGTTGTCCCTGAAGCCCTTGGTGACCAGGACTGATCTTTAGGTCTATTCTCGGGTCCCAACCCCACTTGGAAATATTCACACTGTTAGTCTCATCAGAGTAGCTGACAGTCTGCAGCTCTGACCGTCTATGTACTCACTGTTTTCGTTCAGGTTTTTCCACTAGTTGGTGCCTAATGCACTTCTGTACAGTTCCTTTCAAAACTCAGGGTTTCAGGATTATCTTCTGTATCTCTGTCAATTGGTTTTTCTTTTCTTTGTTGAAGAGGGTCTGTGTCGTTTGTCTGTCTATTATTCCATCTTACTGGCAGCCTCCAGTTTCTTTGTTTTTTACCTTTTTTGTGTGGTTTTCCACATACTGTCTTTCCATCCTCATAACTGTACATCAGCTTAAAAATGACAAAGACTTTAGAAAGAAATGGAAATCCTGAAGACCATAGTAGAGAACAAATACAATAACTAATAGAGGCGTATTCACAGGATTGAGATTTATAAAAAGTTGAGGGGACTAAATAATTCTTAGCTATGAGCTCTGGTAGCATAGTGGCTAAGGCACTTGACTGCTAACCAAAAGGCTGGCGGTTTCAAACCCACCAGCCACTCCTCAGAAGGAAGATGGGGCAATCTACTTCCGTAGTCATACTGCCTCGGAAACCCAAGGAGGGGTCGCTATGAGTCAGGTCTGACTCGACGGCACATAACAACAACAACAACATGCCATTATGGAAGGAAAGAATTAGAAAGAAACCAACCCCCTATCCCACAAACAGTGAGGTAGAAATGAAGATGACAGGGATGTGAGAGGGAAAATTCATTCAAGAAGAACCAGATGAATGTAACAGTTGAATAAGAGAATCAAGGTCAGAGAGATTGGAGTTGAATGAGAACAGGAACTTTCTATATCATAAAATGTGATAGAAATTTTTTAAAATGCAAATTATGGAAAGAAAGCTAGGTAATGAAAAAAATAGACTTCTGAATATCTATTTTTACTTTATTGCTGATTTTTATGAAGAACTGAAAGAAAATGTAGTTCTTTTAAATTTGGTAATGATTTCTTTCAATCTAATATAAACCCGTGTTTATAGATAATGCAATGTAAAATCTGTTTTAGGCCTTATCAGATTTATTATGAATTATGAGTTTTTGGTCTTTTTGTTTTCTTTATGATTTTTAACATAATTCTGTTGTTGTTTGGTATATCCTTGATAGCCGTTTTAGGTGTTTTTGATAATAAAGGGTAAAATAAGCAAATTAATGTTTTATTTAGTCTGCTTCCTAATTAACTACTCCAGAATAAAATTATAATTTCTAATTATATAAATAAGGTTCCAAATTTATATTGATTAAATGAGAATTGGTGTTTTATGATTAAATCTTTACATTAAACTTAAAAATGCATATTATTACAATACCCCAAAATAATTTCCATAAATTCATAAGAATATATTTTATATCCTTGAACCAGTTGTTGAAGTACAGTATTTAAAAATTGCATCCTATTTTTCCTTCATGCCTGTTTTAATTGTTAAAATTTCAGAATTCGATTTAGATTTGCTAATGATAGCAGTTTTGTATAAATATTTACCTGTTTATACCATATCCTTTTCCTGAATAAGGTCATCTGCTCCTACTCTGGTGTCATAGTGCTTAAGGCATCTGACTGCTAACCAGAAGGCTGGCAGTTCAAACTCACCATCCACTCCTCAGAAGTAAGGTTACTCAGTGTAATTCCATAGTGATAACCACCTTGAAAACCCAAGAAGGGGTCACTATGAGTTGGATCCAACTCGACGGCAGTACTACTCTAAGTATATTTATTTAAAATCTTTATTGAAAATCCTTTGAGTGTCTCAAATATGTCCTAAACTGAAGACGTCCCTTATTTTCATCTTTACTTTGCCAAAATGAGGTTTCCAAAATACATATGGGACAATTTAACTCTTCTGCTTAAAAACTTTCATTGCCGTACTGCTGAAAGGGAAAATTCAGTCCCAATATCTGTGTTCCAGTCTTACCACATTACTTTGTTACCCTTTGTTTACCATGCTGTTTCATGCCTCATCCCTTTGCTCAGCTTAGAATGCGCTTTACACCCTCCCTTTCTACTCTTGTCCATCTATCAAGGTTTAGCCCATCTTTGTAGCATTTCCTGAGCTTCCCCTCTAGAATTGACTGCTGACTCCTTTGTTCCCTTAGTGTACTTTATTTACTGAATTTTTAGAATTAGTGAATGATACTTTTCTGTCCTTGTTTTTATGTATCTCTATGCCTGCTAGGATATAGGGCAAAAACTATTTTATTTGTATTTCAATGTTGGTTGCCTTCCTGATTGATTGATTGAATGTGTGAGGGAGGGAATAAATACAATGTTTTCTAAAGTTGGTTTTCTTTTTCTCCAATTATAGGAAGGAGCAACAAAGTCCCCAATTGGAAAAGGAGAAAAAGGTGTGGATATTATTGAAAGCCTCCAAGAGAGCAAACTAATAAGAACAATTTGACTTATGTTGATGAAGCATACAAAAATAATAGAAGTGACAAGTTAGTGAAGATCTGAAAATTTTTCTGTGCTTAAATGCTACTATAATTAGAATTTAAGTGAAAGTGTGTTGATCCAAATATTTCATTTAAATATTTTTTTTTAGTATTTTTTAGTAGTTAGTATTTTTCTATAGTAACTCTTTTTATAAGTATCCTAACTACCAACAACATTTTCATAAAACTACTTGAACTTTTTAAAATTTCTGTCTCTTTTACTTTATTAACATATTCGTGAATGGACATAAACATATTTAATTTCACAGTAATGTTCTTATTAATGTATCTGTAACTACATTTTATAGGTATGATGTCAGCATTAGGGTTAGAAGAGGAACATGCAGAGTCACTTTGGGATTCTGAGGTACTGTTTATTATTTTTTTAAAAATATAAGCCTAGATTGGTGTTAACAGATAAAAGGGGTGCTTTGACTTTACTTTCTCAGCTAGGTATATGGCCAGAAGGAGTTACTTCCTTCTGTTTTTCAACCTTTATTAGCTATGTGATAAGCACAATACTGCTGTAGAGTAAAATTCTGCTAATTTGCAGGATTCACTTAATGAAGCCAATGTCGCATAATGCAAAAAACTCATGGCTTTGTAGCTACAAGGAACCAATTTGGGATCTGGAGTTAAGTTGTCTAAGAATTAGAGAATTATTCCAGAGAAATCTAAAACGATATGTATGACTTTAGGTGTAAAAGACCTAGTGAGATTCAGCAGGAAACAGTTTGTGCTGTATTTATTATTGTTTTATAACTATTTGGAAATTGAGAAGGTAATGTCTGGGAATTCAAAGTATTACTATATATGGATCATTAAGTAGATCTTCAAGTAACATTTCAGGAGAAGTGAAAGCATGAGAATAGTACTATGTCAGACTACAGTAAAAACAATTTTGTCTAGTGGTGTTGTAACTATTTTGGATAGTTAAAATATAATGCACTAAGTGCCTATAGCAGACATATAAGTAATAAGTATAAAGTAATGATGACCTTAAACTGAGGTGACTACTAAAGAAGGAGATAGGAACGGCCTGATTTCTTTGATACAGGTAGATGCTGTATAGTGGTACAAGCATTGTATTTGAAGTCAAAGGACATGTTAGCATCCTGGTTCTGTTACTTACTAGCTATGGGATGTTGGAAAAATAATTGTTTAACCTATTTGTATCTTATTCATAAAAATTGTACCAATATCTACATCTCAGGAGTGTGTAATGAATATGGTAACAAATGTGCATTTTGTAAACTGTGAGGGATGCTATATAAATGTGAAACTCAGTGATGACAGTAGTATTTACCATGATAACATTAAATATTGAGGATACTGTTTTCTAAAACTTGAAGGACAATAAGATGGCAGTTGTTCTTGCTGTTAGGTGCAGTTGATTCGATTCTGACTCATCGCCATGTACAGCAGAACAAAACACTCCCTGGTCCTGCACCATCTTCATAATCCTTGCTATACTTGAGCCCATTGTTGCAGCCACTGGGTCAATCCATCTCCTTGAGGGTCTTCCCATTTTTCACTGACCCTCCACTTTACCGAGGATAATAATCTTCCTCAGGGGTCCCTTCTGACAACATGATCAAAGTAGGTGAGATGAAGTCTGACCATTCTTGCTTCTAAGGAGCATTCCAGCTGCACTTGTTCCAGGGCAGATTTGTTCATTCTTCTGGCAGTTCATGGTATTTTCAGAATTCTTTGTCAACGCCACAATTTAAAGACTTCAACTCTTCTTCAGTCTTCCTTATTCATTGTCCAGCTTTCACATGCATATGAGGTGATTCAAAATACCATGGGTTGGGTTAGGTGCACTTTAGTTTTCAAAGTGACATCTTTGCTCCTTAACACTTTAAGGAGGTCTTCTGCAACATATTTGCCCAATGCAATATGACATCTGATTTCTTGACTGCTGCTTCCCTGGGTGTTGATTGTGGGTCCAAGTAAAATGAAATCCCTGACAACTTCAATCTTTTCTCCATTTTTCATCATGTTTATTAGTCCAGTTGTGATGAGTTTTGTTTTCTTTATGTTGAGGTATAATCCATACTGAATTTGATCTTCATCAGTAAGTGCTTCAAGTCCTCTTTACTTTCAGCAGCAAGGTTGTGTCATATGCATATCTCAGGTTTTTAATGAGAGTTTTCCCAATTCTGATGCCTTGTTCTTCTTCATATAGTTCAGCTTCTCAGGTTATTTGCTTAGCATACAGATTGAGTAAGTCTGGTGAAAGGGCACAACCCTGACACACACTCTTCCTGATTTTAAACCATGCAATATACCTTTGTTCTGTTCAAATGATAGCCTCTTAGTCTATGTACAGGTTCCTAAAGAGCACAATTAAGTGTTCTGTATTTCTTATCTATGCACTGCTATCCATAATTTGTTCTGATCCATATATTCGAATGCCTTTTCATAGTCAATAAAACACGCATAAAAATCTTTTTGGTATTCTTTGCTTTCAGCCAAGATGCACCTGATATCAGCAGTGTTATGCCTTGTCCACATCCTCTTCTGAATCCAGCTTGCATTTCTGGAAGTTCCCTGTCAGTATGCTACTGCAACGTCATTTGAATTATCTTCAGCACAATTTTACTTACATGTGATATTTGATAATTTCCACAATTTGTTGGATCACCTTTCTTTGGGATGGGCACAAATATTAATCACTCCATTTGGTTGGCCAGCTAGCTGTCTTCCAAAATGTGTGGCACAAATGAGTAAGCCCCTCCCCTGCTTCATCTGTGCGAAAAGGGCAAGGAGGCCACATGTTCTGACCTCCTGTAATCCTACAAGAGGAAGGCAGAATCACCATCAATAGCACAAGGCCTATTACTGCAAGGCCAGACATGCTGCCTCCCTC